CCCCCCCCCCCCCCCCGTATGTTCTTACGTTCGTCGGTGTCATCCGTGCCGTCGAGGTCGTCGAAAATCACGATCCCGTCCATGGACCCACTCGAGCTGTCCTCCTCGCTTGATGTCCCGGGCGGGCTCGTTCCGTCCAGGGGGCCCATCGCTGTCCGCATACATACACACATGCACGCGTACATAAATGAATGTCGGGTGCATCACATTGCTTCCAATGAATGTGCCGTGACCTCGTTTTCTGTGCTCACGCATCCGTTGCGTACATGGTGTAGGCTGGTAGGGTGCTGCCCGCAGGTCGGCCTCGACGCTGCTCGTCTGGGGGACAGTGGTGTCCACAAAGACGTCGTCACTGCAAACAGACAGACAGACAGACGCAAACACACAGATGGAGATAGAAATACGGCAGCCGGCTCGTGTCTCACTCACGCACTCACTGACCATGCCGGCATGTCGCCGTGTGCCGCCGGCTGGTCGGCAGCACATGCGTCCTCCTGCGGGGCGATTGGTGGGTCGAGATGGAGAGCCCTGGGCGGTGACTTATGTCTGCTGGGCGGTCGGTCCAGATCCCATATCTCAAAGGGGATAGGCGGACGCTCCTTCTCGACCGGCGGCTGGCGGGAAAAGGCAGGCTGCACACAACGGCACCCACCCACCCTGGCCGGTGTCTCTCTCATACATATAGGTCTTATGTGTCATACACACATCCATACACACCTGCAGTGCAGCCGCATCCCCGAATAGCCCGCCGGTTGCGTGAGTCGGGTTGGGTTTGCGGGCGGGCGGGCGGGGGCGGGACGGCAGCTCATCCATCCCATCCTGCAACCAACAGACAGACAGGCACACGCCGATGTTCATTACATGCCGCGAGTCTTGCCCTTCCTTCTCTGTGTGGCTCACCTTCATTATTTCAGCAGCAGCAACAGTCCCCCTGCCGCTCATCCACGCTCGTTGGGGGGTGGGTGCGCCCCCCCGTCGAGAAGATGAGAACAGGCTGGCACCGCTGCCGCTGCCACGCCCCGACCGTAGACCACGACCACCAAAGGCCTGCTCTGTGGGCATCATCTTGCTCCTCTCAGTGGTATGGGCGGCGTGCTGAGGCTGCTGCTGCTGATGGTGGGGCTGGGGGTGGGCATGTGGATGGGGGTCGACAAAAAGAGCCGAGTTAGCTAACCTCTTGGCCATAGGTGAGCTTCCAGAAGGGACGGGGGCGCCCCGACGCTTGTTGAATCGACCAAACCGACCAAAACCCTCATTGTGAGACGTGGAAGCACGGCACGTGTCGGCGACGTGGTCATCGCCGCGGCTCTGAGGCTCTTCTTGTCTCTGCTGCTGGTGCTGATGCTGGTGCTGCTGCATCTCCTTGTAGAAGTATTCCCGTGCCGTCCTCGTTGGCCCAGCGCTCCGGGCCCCGGACCGGCGTCGGGTGAGCGGCCGATAGGCGGAAACGGGGCGCGACGCGTCGAACGCGTGCAGCACATCCACACTGGGAGGCGACACATCGGCGGCTGCTGGCGGTTCATCTGGACCAGCCGACCACTCATTGACATCAAGGGCGATCTCTGAGGTAATTGGACACTTTGGGAAGAGCTCTTCTTCGTCCAGATCGTGAACAGGGGCGGCGGACGACGGCGACTCGTCTGCTTTTGGATGAGCGGGGCTGTCTTCAGTTGACAGGCCGGCCGGATCCACAGCGGCTTTGTCGCCTCTGTCTGCTCTCTTGGGCGGTGGCGGGGCGGGGAGGGTGGGAGGG